CTGGCGATCGCATGGAGCGGGCGGGCCCAGGCGAGGAGAAGGAGGAGGAGGCGGAGGAGGAGGAGGGGGAGGAGAAAGAGGAGGAGGAGGAGGATGAGGAGGAGGATGAGGAGGATGAGGAAGAGGAGGAAGAGGACGAGGAGGAAGAGGAGGAGGAGGAGGAGGGGGAGGGTAATATAATAATAATAAGAATAATAATAATAATAATTATTCACTGCGTGGAGCTCCCCATATGTGCATCTACTCGCATGGACCTGTCCGCCGTGAATGTCTAGGCGCAATAGCTTTCGAATATTAACGGGCTTCAGTTGTGACGGTCTGGACATCAATCTAACTGCGAATGAATTGGAGTGTGAATGAGCCTCAGTAGTACGAGCGCGTCTCTGTGCATGAGCCTGGGGCCTCCTGGGGCCTCCTGAAACCTACTGGGGCTTCCTGGGGTCTCCAGGAGCCTCTTGGGACCTCCTGGGACCTCCTAGGAAGGTTTCGTGCCCCAGGAGAGGCGCAATCTATAGCAACAGACGTACATAAAACATTGCGGATTAGAGCCACAGGAGAAGGGCAATCTATAGGAACACGCGTAAAACACCAAGGACTCGTGCCCCAGGAGAGGCCCAATACATAGGAACATGAGTAAAACATTTAGGATTGTGTACACAGGAGAAGGACCATCTATAGAAACATACGTAGAACATCAAAGAATCGTGCTCCAGGTGAGGCCCAATCGATAGGAGCATACGTAAAACACATGGGATTGGAGCCACTCCTGTTGCCTTCTGAGGCCTCCTGCTCCTGGGGCCTCTCGGGGCCTCCTGTTGCCTTCCGAGGCCTCCTGGCGCTTCCTGTTGCCTCCTGGGGCCTCCTGTGGTTTCCTGAGGCCTTCTGGAGCTTCCTGAGGCCTCCTGGAGCCTCTTGGGACATCCTGTGGCCTCTTGAGTCTTTCTGTGGCCTCCTGATGCCTCCTGGGACCTCATGTGGTCTCCTGGGGCCTCCTGGAGCCTGTTGGAGCCTCCTGTGGCATCCTGAGAAGAATCTGCGCCCACGAGCCTGGCCACCAAAACAAGCAAACCGATCGAGACATCCTCAAAATCTGGCCCACCTGGGGGGTGAAAATGAACGCCTCGCTCGAGACATCCTCCAAATCTGCTCCGAAAGCGAAGGATGTTGGGCCCAGAAACAAGCAAACCGCCTGAGACATCCCCACAAAATGGCCGCGAACGAGCCCGTGCAACCACCCCTGGCGGCTCCCCTTAGGGGTGCTGAAATGAGCGCCTCGCTCGAGACATCCTCCAAATCTGCTCCGAAAGCGAAGGATGTTGGGCACAGAAACAAGCAAACCGCCTGAGACATCCCCACAAAATGGCCGCGAACGAGCCCGTGCAACCACCCCTGGCGGCTCCCCTTAGGGGTGCTGAAACCAGCGCCCCGCCTGAGACATCCTCACAATCTGCTCTCCAAGCGAAGGATGTTGGGCCCAGAAACAAGCAAACCGCCTGAGACATCCCCACAAAATGGCCGCGAACGAGCCCGTGCAACCACCCCTGGCGGCTCCCCTTAGGGGTGCTGAGTATGAGTAAGTCTGTGTATGAGTAAGTCTGTGTATGAGTAAGTCTGGGTATGAGTAGGTCTGTGTATGAGAAAGTCTGTGTATGTGTACGTCTGGGTATGAGTAAGTCTGAGTGTGACTAATACTGTGTATGAGTAAGTCTGGGTATGAGTGAGTCTGTGTATGAGTACGTCTGGGTGTGAGTAGTATGAGTAAGTCTGTGTATGAGCAAGTGGGAGTATGAGTAAGTCCGACAGGAGGGGAGGAGAAAAGAGGAGGAGGGAGAAGGAGGAGTAGGAGGCGTCCAAGTAATAACAGAAAACCCATCTTAGGATATGGGGAATAACAAGAACCCCATCTTAGGAAATGGGGAAAAGAGGAGGAGGGAGGAGAAGGAAGAGTACGAGGCGTCCAAGTAATAACAAGAACCCCATCTTAGGATATGGGGAAGAATACTAATAACAATAATAATACTAATAAAATTAATAATACTAATAATAAGAATAATAATAATAATACTACTAACACTAATATGAATATTAATAATAATAATAATCATAATAATAATTAATAATAATAATGATGATACTAGTAATAATATTGATGGTAATAAGAACAATAATACATACGACTCACAAGAGCGACAGTTCGACGGGCCGTGGATTAGCCAGCGACGAGAGGAGGAGGGGGAGCAGGAGGAGGGGGAGGAGGGCAAGCTACGTGCACTCGCGTCATATCTGACATCCTACCCCTCCCTCCCATCCCTTACCATGGCGCAAATCCCCTCTCTACTCGCACAGTCGGATGTCGACCAGGGCAATGATCCCGAAAGGGTACGCGATGCATTGTAGAGCACGGCGTGGCATGGCGTAGAAGAGCACCGCGAAGTGTAGTATCAACCGAGCATTGCATTGCATGCCGTGGCATGGCACGGGAAATGACGCCATTGCTGCAGCGGGAGCACGAGTCGAAACGAGCGGAAGCGTGGAAATGAGGCCAGCGCTGCAGCGGGAATACGATTCGGAAAGTCAGCATTTTCAAAAGAAAGATGTGTATTGGAATGGCCTTTTTTCGGCACCGCCTCGGAACTCGATTTTCCGGCGCCGGCCAGAGCCGGCTCCGGACCCGGCCTGGGCGCTGGCGCGGGCGCCGGCTCGGGCGTCCGGCCCGGGCGCTGGCGGAAATGAGCGCTGCAGCGGGAGCACGATTCGGAACGAGCGGGGCCCGAAAATGAGGCCGGCGCCTCAGCGAGAGCAGCATTTTGGAAACAAATGCAAGCGAAAACCCAACTCCGGGGAAACCAGTGTTAAAAAAAACACTACGCGGCCGGAGGGGGTCGAATACTCCCAAGACGTCAAGCTTTAATGCTCGTCGCGTGTTTCCCGGGTTTGAGCCCGAACCGACAGCTCGAGCCTTCCGCCCAAACATGCTACCGGGAGGCCCCCAGAGCCCCACCCCGCACACACGCAAAAAAAACCCTTCCCCCCACCCCCAAGAAGCTCCCGAGCCACCCTGGAAGCCTCGGCGCGACCCCCAAGAGACATCGCGAATGCCTCGAGGAGGTTCTCGAGAAATTTCCCGCGACATCTCGACGAACACCCAGGCAGCCCATGACGACGAACCCAGGCGTGGCGGTGGGGCGGGCCGAAGGCAATACGTACAATAATTAGCGGCTGGTCCAACCATGGGAGGCAGGGCAGCGTCGCCGTCGCCCCCGCAACGAATAAAACATGGCATTGCGCCAACCTGCAGCTCACGCCGGTGCCCGCCGACTCTTGCTCCAGCCGCAGAGCTGTCTCCACTCGAGCATGAGACGGGCGCGTTCGCTCTGCTGGAAATACACGACGTCATCGTCGGTCCACGCGGGCAGCGCATAACTGTGGAAACGCGTGTGCAAAAGTCGCAGGAATGACAAGTCTGCGAACAACTTGAAAACTGTCTCTCCTACGGCCTCAGTTTTGGATGGCCAGTGCGAGGCAGCAGCGGCCAAAGACAATTCGACTGGGACGGCGCCAGATCGAGGGCCCACGCCAGCGGCCCGCAAGCCCTCGGCGCACTCTTGCCGCGCAAGCAAGCCGCTCAGGGGTCGCGACTTGAGAAGGCGGCTGCAATGCTGCAGCAGCTTCGAATCGAAAACGCATCTGCGGCCGCGCACCTCCCGGGCACAGGCTGGGCCGACCCTCGGGGTGCCGCGGCGGCGGCGGCGCGCCAGGCGCTCGCGGCTACTGCGCCGCCGTCGCATTCGTGCCTTGCGGCCCCTGCGATTACCCGCCGCCGCGCCCGAGGGCGCGGTCAATCGCTCGAGCGAGATGTCCGGCATCTCCCGGAGAGCTGCTAAGAGGCCCCTGAGAAGGCCCCCGAAACATTTTCCACATGCTCTAGGAGGGTCTCGCGCGCGACTCGAGGGCGGCGGCGGGGCGGGCCGAAAGGCCGCGAGATGCCGCCCGAGCGCGACGTCGACCCGGGCCCCTGCTCGAATCGCCACCCGCACGAGCACGGGGCGCGGCGGCTGCGCGCCGAACGCGCCCTTCCAGAAGCCTTTCGCGCGGAGAACCCCTGGCGACGACCTCGAGAGAAACGCGCGCGAATCGCGCGCGCCGCCCGGATCCTTTGCGAGCGCGTCCTCGATGGACGCGGCAGACTGAGCCGCGGCGGTCCGCAGGAGGTCGCGCCCGCGCTCTCCAAGCGCCGGCGCGGGAGGCGCGCCTTGCGGCTCCTCGGGTGGGCCGCGGGGCGCGTTCAGCCGGCCGATCAGGTCAGCGTGGTCGCGGCAGAAATCCGCCGGGGCCGTCGC